ACGTCAAAAAAATAAAAGTCCCTACTATCTAATATCAGCAAACAGATTTCAACAGTTTTTTGTATCTTCTGACATGTCAACAGGCGTATTTCTGCACTCCATTTACTACTTCCGGGAAAGTGGTCTATGCTGTTGCTCGTCATTTGAAATACAGCAATTCTTCCTATAACTTGGTCTTCTTTCTTTGTTGATGGTCGGTTACATATCAAGGTCATCGTGCTGTTGTGAAACTATCAATCGAAGCACATTGTCGCTAGAGGGCGCGGTGTATATCAGTACAATCTGGGATTGGTATGACTTCATCGATGTCACGTCATAGATGGCGTGCAACGTAAGATAACTACGGTCAAACCATTTATTTTTACTGACAGTTTTTCATATGATGTTGTGAGCATATTCACTGTGTTTTAATTCCACGAATGTATCAAGGAAACAATGAGTTATATTGCTATTTTACATATTCACGTAGATATTACTTATCAACGAACACAGCGAAATTAAAACCCAGTGAATAATTAATGCATTTACAGTACATAAATATATAAACACATTTATTCATTTATTTTTCAGTGATTGTATACCTGGCTAATATGAGAAAATCAACTTTAAAAAATGAAATGGGGATCACTAGCATATTATTTCTGGAAAAAATAGTATATTTTAATGAATAACGCGCATAAAATTTAAATGCTTTTACCATTGGTCCTTCAAGCAGAGAAATTTTCAGAGCCACACTCAAATTGATTATAAAACCCTGAAACTATTTGTTTTTAAATTATAATAAAAAAACATTCTGGTAATTTATAACAAATTTTCTCAACCAATATAAATAGGCTTTTGTCTGGTCAAGAAATGGAAAAAAGCAAAATGTAAATTTTGCCTGTCGTATACGTCACATACGAGGGGCGTTCAATAGGTGATGCCCCTGACCCACTTCCAGTTGTCTGATCTAGATGAAATTTTGCATGTGTAATGATTTACATCTCTATGGGTTATGTTGCAAAAACAGCTCTGAACTAATTGTGGTTTCTGATTTACAGTGTTTGAACCGAGTCAGGTGTGAAATGGGGCTAACTGAGTATCGCGCAGTGATTCGGTTTTTGTATTTGAAAGAACGCACACCAAATGAGACTTTTGATGAAAGGAAACAACCTTATGGTGAATTCAAACATGGCCGGAAGTCTGTGGAAACAGCTCCCAGACCTGGCTGTCCCTCTTCTGCCATTGATGAGAAATCTGTCCGTTAAGTTGAGGCAGCCATTTTGGAAGATCGACGCATTACTGTTCGCCAAATAGCCCCAGAAGTCAAGATTAGTACAGGGTCTGTGGAAACTATCATTCATGATCATTTGCACATGCATAAGGTGTCTGACAGATGGATTCCCAGGTTGCTCATACCTTTCCAGAAGCAAGAACGCGTCGAGTGCTCGAGGATGAATTTGGAGATGTGCCAAGAAGATGAGTCAAAGTTTTTCAAAAAAACTACTTACACAGGATGAAACTTGGATCCATCACTATGATCCAGAGACCAAAGCCAAATCAATGCAATGGAAGCACTTGGACTCACCACCTCCAAAGAAGGCAAGGTTGCAGCCCTCCGCTGGCGAGGTCATGCTCACAGTCTTCTGGGATCAGACGGAGTAGTGATGACAGATTTCCTTGAAAAGGGTACCACAATTACAGCACCCTATTACGCTTCACTTTTGATGAAATTAAGAGAAGCTATCAAAATCAAGAGGCGGGGCAAGATCAGCAAAGGTGTCCTCCTCCTGCAGGACAACGCTCCGGTCCACAACTCGCATGTCGCCAGATCAGAAGCACGGGCGTGTGGTTATGAAATCCTCCCCACCCCCTCACTCTCCTGACCTTGCACCCTCTGACTTTCATCTCTTCCCAGCCATGAAGTTGTGTTTGAAAGGAAAGCGTTTCCCATATGATGAAGCCTTGATTTCTGAAGTTACGACGTGGTTGGAGGACCAACCTGTGGTGTTCTACAAAAATGGTGTCCAGAGCTGCATCAAACGATGGGAGAAATACCTAACTCTGGTTGGTTCCTATGTAGAGAAAGGCTAATAACTGTGCCAAGTTTTATTAATCTCCTGCTATGGGTAATTGGTCAGGGGCACCACTTATTGAACGCCCCTTGTACATACTGCAAAGATACTTTTAAACATGGGTCAAAGTTTAATATGATGTGACACTAAGCGCCAATAATTTTTAACAATATGTGCCCAATAACAATGTAATTTCGCGCTAACCCGACCCAAAGAATTTATTCTGAACAGCATTTCACTTACCCCAAGAAGAACAAGAGAAGTCTTTCTGGGGAAGAGAATGTTTTTTTAACTTACCTGATTATATTTGTGTAAAGAAAGAAAGAACAAAACAAACAGACGTACAGACGCAATTTCCTTTTTGTATTTATCGTGATATCATGAGAAATGGAGTCCCATGATACATACATATCGAATACATCTTCCCCCACAAAGTCGACTAAGCAACTATCATAGTGATCACGTGATCTGTGTACATTATCACGTGACCATGGTCTCATTTTTTCAGCAACATTTCATCCAGCAATTCGTAGTCCGCTGTGCGCTTCATGCATTTTGTTCTCGGTGAATCAGTAAGTTCATGAAACAATGAAGTTATTTAATTGAATTTATTTTCTATAAACACTACACTACAATAACCGCTTCTTTCTAGTTATTCTGAGAAATGTACAGATTGTGAAGTTGTAAAGCGTAGCCAGCTCACTACGAACACGAAGACAGGTCGAGGGTTGCTGGTGTGAACGACCTTTGACCTTTGACCGTGTACGTCATGATCGCAAAAGTCACGCAGAGACACTCATAGGTGAATTTATATGTTCCTGCGCTGTGTATGCCGGTATTTAATCGAATCTCATACAAGCGTAGATATTTCTTTTGCGATTTTTCTAAAATCCTGTTTCACGATAGAAACGGGACCCCGGCCCGTTTCATACATCATTGGCACGAATATTTCCACGTGAGTGCCCCGCTCACAGAATTATTAATACATTTTGTGTTCAAAAAACATAAAACGTCACTGATATTCGTTCCTCGTGGGGGACAGTTCAATAACAGATACTAAGCTACGATCGGAAAAAATAGATTTACAGCTAAACAAAAATATGTAGACGAGAAAATTACATTACATGAGGTGTAAGATTACTGGACAAGCCTCTTTGCGAATAAAATCCACGGAATTACATTCATTTTGTAAAGAAAACAAAATGATAATAAGCACTAATGGTCCGGCCAAATATCAAAAAATACAACCATTAAAAGAAGGAAGAGTTGAGTGGTTATATAACAAATTGTATATGAATGCAAATAACATATAATAACTGTGTTATTTAGCATTAAACTTGCAGTGCCTGACATCTCTGTGTTTGCTTCAAAAATGGCGCTAAAAACCTTATCAGAATGCCGTCTGGTAAATCATGTTATGATTCTCTTTTTGCATTTCTAATAGATAATGATAGTTGTGCGTCTATTAACTTTAGGTCTAGATATCTCGTGAATCTACAAGTTCAAATGTGACGGAATTGCCAACAGCATCATGGTTGCGGTGGTCTTGTGAAGTCTCGTAAATTGCGAGAAAGCGCCAATCTCTCGCTGACGTCACCTCCCCATGCACCGGTTATAAAATATACAGTCTCACTAAAAACTAAATCTTCATTTTAATTATTCACTTAAGTATATATAAGATTTTAAACTGTAATACAAAAAATACCAAAAACACAATATTTCGGAATGTTGAATGCAAATAAGTATTGTCACTATGATTAGCGGTGAATACATGATGAGACAAGTTAAAATAATACTTGTTTTTTTCTGTTGATTTTTTTTTAATATTTATTCAAATTCACGTGGAACTACTAAAATACCGCAACGTGAAAAGTCAATGATTACGCCTGGTTTCCGTGCTTTATGGTTTGTGAGATATACAGGCAGATTGACTTAGATATACTAATAAGAGTAATACTTTTGTGCAATATTTGTGAAAAATACCGCTGGTGAATAAAAAAAAACAATATCCTAGGTCTGTCGTGTGTTGCCATAACAACTCCCGCGTGAATCATGTTTCACTAGTATAGGCAGGGAAGTATCTTCCATCTTCTAGAAAAAATAAGAGAGAAAAGTTTGTTAGAAATGTTCAAGTTGTTGAGTTGGACATTTATTGTGTAGCAGTGAATACCTGTGGTACTTTTCCCCAAAAAATTGGATTATGAATGCATTGCAATTGTGCAAGCGATGATTTACCGCCGTCGCGTGGCAATTAGTTAATGTCAAGTGCCGAAATACTTTTTTCCCGCCACTGA